AGCTTAACTCACGCCCCTAAAAGGTGCGGGGTCAAGCGGCCCCGAGATGATGAGTCCCTCACCTCCACCTAACGCAACAGCAAAAGCAGCACGTGGGTTTAGTGTCGTTAAGATAAATACTTATTTACTAACTTCCTTCTGTGCATTTCATAGCGGTAACAACCGCACTTATTATTACATTTGCTGTTTTCACTCCGTTATCACCGGAGTTATTAGTACAAAACCACTGAACCGCCTATACACGATCTCTTTACGCACTTTCTGATGGAAGCACTGACCTCACCAGAAATAAAAGGTAGTACAAAAAGAATCTTTCCTTCCATTGGAGTACTACCATGTCTGAGGATCAAATCGCCAGGAGAATGTAGTTGAAAAATTGTAGTAGCCGTTCGACCAAGCTATATCGCGTGCCATTTTGAGCGACTCTTTTCACTCATCCTCTCCCGTGCAAACCTTCTTAGCGGTGCGGAACATATTCCTAACCACCGCTCGTTTTATGTAGAAAGGATGAGCTGAGTGATAATGGACAATGATATCCTCATTGCTAGGCTTTCTATACCACTTGTATAGACAGATTGTTATGATCCTTTCAGAAGGCGATATCGCCGAAACGTCAGCCTGGTAAAGCTTGTTCACAAACCTCGTGAAGAGTTCAGAAAAACAATAAACCCAACAACACAGTTATGCCGAGGTTCATAGAAAGCCGTACTTGTAAGTTAACTCATAGAAGAAACGGTTTATGAACTTTTCCTGGAATCGTGTCGCAGACTTGAGATAAACGGTCGATAACGCAGTACGCACACCTAGCCTGGAACGGCCACATCGACCGAGGATTATTGTCAGAAGCTTCAGTTTAGCACTTCCTAACAGTGTCTTAGTGAGAGAGTAGCGAGAAATTAGCGTTGTCCGAACGCCCCATCTCCCTTTACATCTTCGCTTCGATCAGTTTAGCTGCAACTCAGCTGCTGCCAAAAGGAGTGGGACAGAGAATAGGTAGGTACTCAGCTAGATGCTCTTCATCAGTTTGCTTGCTGATTCCTTCTGGGCATTTAATTCATTAGAACTCGCTTCAATTATCATCTGTATTTGATGGCAGCAGATCCTTTATGAACCGCCTAAATGGACCGCGCCGCGGCCGCGATTCTATTCGATCGTTGGGCGTTACTACATAACTGCAAGTTTCGTTTTTACGCAATACTTTGACGTGTGATAAATGGTTTTCCTCTGCGGTGTTTTACACTGTTTCTCCTGGACTGTATCTTACAGTTAGCTAGGTTGTGAATATTTGTCAAGTAGTTGTTCCTGGAGATTGTACAAGTTATAAATTTCGAGGAATGATTCAGGTAACAGGTGGAGGAGAGAGGGACTAGTATCCACTTAATGGCGTCGCTTTCCTAACGAAAGGTCATCTTAGCGTCGTACTGGAAAGGCAAGTTCATAGGAATCTGGTGCCTTATGTTACGAAATAGATTATTTGTAAATAATCGATGACTAATTTAAGAGACACAAAGAGCAGCAATCTTCAGGCAGCAACTAACTCCTCACTAGTGATTTTCTCACCTTCTGGAAATCCTCCTAGTGACAATCAGTTCAGCAGGTAAGGCCTGAGAGGTCTAATTCAATATGTGCTCCCTCCAGGAAATGGAGTCTTCAGTCAACTAATCTCAAGCGTTTGTTTATGGTTCTCATATATTCATAAACGTGAAGTCAAAATCAGATCAGTGCAGTAACGAGATTTGAGGTGGATTGTACTATTCTGCGGTCATTTACATCAACACTCCCTGCAAACAGTGTTTGTCGTTCAGTTTCTCTTTGATGAAGGCGCCAATCAACCCTATGTGATTCATTTTGAACGCGAGCAGTATCAACGACAATGAACAAGCCATATTTTTCAATTTACCTCCGAATGATGCCGGCTTCAGTGCATGTTTCAGATATTGAAAAAGTACATCTTAATACGCGTACTAGAATTCACCCAGTACGACGCTTGGACTCTTACTAGCTTGTGATTTGTCCTTACCGTTAGAACGCATCCCTCTTTCAAAGCCCATTGCGTTTCTTCACCGATTCGTCTCACAATAAGTGAGGAATATCTTCGGGTTGTTGCATTGCATTACCGCCTTATAGCGAATCCTGTCCAAAAGCTCAATTGAAGCCATGAAGGCGCGCACGACACTAATTTTTGAAAGAGCGACTCGAAATTTTGGTAAACTTGCCGCAGTTGGTATTCATTTCAAGGTGGCTGAAGCCTTCGTTATTCTTAGTGGTCAAATAGGTTTCGAGGCACGTTCAAACAGAATAGAGTATCATCTCGATTGGTGCTAAGCGTTCGAATCCCCTAATGAATTCTGCAATCTTGAATACGTGTCGGACCCATATCGCTACGTTCGAGTTCAAGGAAGTGTTCTAGGATGTTTTTAAACTAGCAACGGTAGCAGTCCTGTGTAAGGACACGGGACAAATCTATTCAGTGGCTGAATTGATTTGTCCCGTTCGTCCCGTGTCCTTACACTGGTCCGTTTTCGATACGTCGTACATGTGGCGGGCAATTGTAGACTAGGTTGTTGCATAATGATTGCGGATTTTTTCGCGGCTTCTTTTCTCTCAATACAATTTGAGTAGTGGATTCGAGATTTGATAGAAATAATCTTATTTTCCTCAGCAGAAATATGTATAGAACGTCATCGTCATATGCGCCACATTATGCTCTATTATTTCGAGAAATGCTGGAAGGTGGCGCAGTCATAAAGTGTTCTCAACGAACTTCCCGCCGATGGAACAGTCAGCCAAATACGAACAAGGAATGGAGTCTGCTTCTACGTTCGCCCTATTCATCAACAAAAACCCCTAAAGATTATCACGTCAATCGTCCGTTGAAAATCGGCTAGCGAACAAAACTTTCCACGGAATGGATGACTTGATGGCCGACGTCAAGGCGTGGATCGCCTCCAAGAATCGAAGCTTCTTCGCCAGTGGAATTCGACTGCCTAGCAAACGAGAAGCAATGCTCGGCGTAGATGGTGGATATGTTCCGGAGTAATCATTTGAATATGTCTTTGCTAAATATTTTTCTATCCTTCCTTTAGGTAAAATTGTTTAAAAATTCCGCAATAATTATGCATCAACCCAATAGTATATGTGTTTGTCACGAGTGTGTACCGTCTGGTTCGGTAGGGAGGTATCGATACGAGAAACGTGTGGAAAGAAATACACCGAACTGTATTAATTCGTTTATTGCAAAAAAAAAACGAAACGATAACAAACAAACGAAATTCGATGAAAACAAAAGCAATGAGCAACACTGCAAACAAACAAAATAAATGAATTACTGCGAATAAGGGGGAACGGCAGAGGAGGGACGTGGGCGGGGGGACGGTCACTCAAAAAACTTAGAACACAACTCTACCTCCTGCTCCCCTTTTATGTTGGCTGTTTCCCGCCCAACGCCCTCCTCTTCATAGTGCAGATCACTGACCTGCTTACTGACATGCCGCCCCCCTCTCGTGCCGATTCCCACATCGGCTGATACTCTACTCTCTTAATTTCTGGAAGCTCTACTGTTCCACTCGGCTTTTTTCTTATACACTCATACAACGACTTCGCACAACCTACCGCATAATTGGAAACGTAATAGTACAATGCTGTCTCTGGTGATCCTATCTCGCAAAAAACTCGACCATTCTCTACCTTTGTGCCTGCCGCACTATAGAACTGCCTTGTCTCTTTATGGTCTCATCCAACATAGACCATATTTCCACCATCGACTTCCGATTTTCCACATTTTTCTCGATGACCGGAGGCCATGCAGTTACCACCTGTCCTCCTTCGGCCAAATGCTGCCCGCGTGCCTTAACGATTTCACAGATTTCCTCCTCCTTGAAATTTTTATCTTTGCGCCACACAGTGATCCAAATGGCATGCGTTGTCCATTCCGTCAGGATCTCCCGAAGCTGCTTGAACGAAGTTGCAACTCTCGTCGTTATTCCCCTTTTTGGCCCGTCCTTCTCGAGTAACGCAGCACTTGCTAGAGCTGCGAAGGCCGTTGGGCCTTGTTTTATCTGTCGTTTCTTCTTTTCCTCCTCTTCGAGCTCCTTTTTCAGCTTTTTCAGGGCGGAGTCATAGGTTTTTTCGAATCCAAACGACTCAATCTTCTCGTGCTTCCTGACGCCGTCCGTCATACAAACGAATTCGGTCCAATCAAGACACTTTGAATACGCGACACGCAGCACAATCTGTAGAGCCTCTTCATCGAGACATACTGCGCCATCCTTCCAAAATTTTATCTTCGACGCCATGTCCAGGTCCATGCGAATGGATATGCTAGCCGCTCTCCATGCATTCCACAGCGACCCCATCGGCTTCTGCGAAAATGCTCCTGGAAACTGGATTCCTGCGAGCTCGCCGAGTTTCACGTCATTCAGGCAGCCCTCTTCCACAAGTGTATTCCAAATGACCTTTGTCGCTCTTTGCGCGGATTTCGGCGCCTCTGAAACATGTAGTACTTACTTTGTTTACGCTGACTTTTGCTTTCCTTCCCCTTCTACCTCTACTGGTTACTGTATCGATAAGATCGTTGGAAATATAGGGCGGTACAATCCTCAACATGTCAAATTGCACACGTATGGGCTCTACGTTCTCCCCTATTCTACTGTTGACCGCCGAGTTCTCACTCGCCTCTATCACTCGGAAGGGTCCAGCCCAATCACAGGTCAGCTTTGGATGAGCGCTCATCGCCTTCTCTTTTGGAGACAACATATAGACCCTATCTCCTACTTTAGGATGCTTGCTATTGTCGACCTTATTTCGCCTGTCATACTCCATTTTCATTTTTCCTCGTATTCGTTCATTATATTCTTTAACTCTATCGTGGACTTCGGCCATCGCCTGCAATAGCTGTGCCTTATAATCATCCCTACTTTCATCCATCGTATACCACGACACTCCACCGTTAGGAATTACTCCCAATGGATAACCTGGATCCACGCCGTGTAAAATAAAGTATGGGCTCTCACCGGTTGCCTGATGCGGTGTTATANTTGGAAAAGTGGTCAATGACCGTAATCGCATAGCGGTTGCCACTTGTCGTGTTTCCCAGCTCTAGCACGTCAATACCCACTATCTCATATGGCTTCGTGGTGGCGGACGGCTTTAGTGGAGGTACTATCTTTGGTCTTGCGTTATGCGCGAAGCAACGCTGGCACTCCCTTGTCCACTTGTTGATATCCTGAACCATGGTAGGCCAGAATACTTCTTTCTTGAGTCTGTTCAACAGTTTATGAGCACTGAAATGCCCAGCAAATGTTCCTGCATGCGCTTCGTGAAAGATCTCATAGCGAGCATTTTTTGGGGCCACGTACACCAAAGTTCCATCTTCCTGAAACATTTTTAATTCACCTTCCTCTATCACGGAATCTGCAGCGCGCACCGGATTTCTCAGTCCCGTTAACAGAAAGACCCTTTTCTCATCTCCCCGAGCTACTGCTTCTAGGATAGGGGCGATTTCGCTGTCTTCCTCCAATTCCTTCATCCACTTTGTCTTACTCTGAATTACCTGTACGGTGTTAACCACCGCGTCACCTATTTCCTGAATGGGTTCCTCATCACTCCAAACTGCCGCTCCCCTGCTGAGCGCGTCCGCTACTACATTTGATTTTCCTTTTACATATTTTATTACCAAACTATACCTCTGTATCTCTGATGACCACCGCAGAACTCTTGCGGAAACATTGGTACGATTGAATAAGGCTGTAAGCGGCTGATGATCAGTCAACACAATCGTGGGTAGTCCATAGATAAACATGTGGAATCGCCTTATAGCGAACATCACCGCTAATGCCTCCAAGACTGTTACGTGGTACCTACGCTCAGCTTTGCTGAGGCCTTTTGATGCAAAATATATAGGATGCAGTTGCTTATCTTCACCCTCTTGAGAAAGAGCTGCTCCTAACCGACGGTTGACGCATCCGTACAAATTACAAACGGTTTGGACCCATCCCTTGCCTTCTCTATGTTGGGATGGCCAAGCACTGGTGACGTAGATATCATTTCCTTGACTTTTTCAAAAGTCACACTGTGTTCATCAGTCCATCTCCACGTTGCCTTAGGGGATGTTAAAGAAAACAAACTCTCTGCTGCTTTAGCAAATCCGAGGCAAAATTTACGATAGAACGACGCCATTCCCAAGAACGTCCTTAGTTTCTTCGCATTCTTTGGGACCGGATGCTTAGTGATCGACTCTACCTTTGCCGGGTCCATGTGAATGCCATCCCTATCAATAACGTGACCAAGAAAATTTACCCTAGTTTGCATAAGGACGCACTTCTGAGCTTTCAGCCTTAGTCCCGCGTCCTGCAGCTTTGTGCAGACTATATTACTGAGTTTGTTGCTGTCTTGAACTCTTCACGAGGTTTCTAAATAACCTTTATTAGGCTGACGTTTCGGCGGAATCGTCTTCTTCAGAGCCTGAAAGGATCGTAACAATCTGTGATTATCCGACCA